AGATGATTCCTTCTAATTTTTCTGTCCGAGGAATTTTTTGGTGTTAACTAATCAATGCGCAATTTCTCGGGAACAAAACGCTGAAGGAAGTCATTTTCATGGTGAAATTTGAGGGGATCAAGTGGGCAAATAGCAGACAATATATTATACAAAACAGCCGGTGGTTCATAGCTCTCTTGTGAACCCTACGGCCCTCAACTTTGGAGGATTGAAATTTTCTAGGCCTTGACATTAATTTTGATTTTCTTTTCTTTTCTTTTCAGTAAAGTGGGTATTTTTTATATGCACATAAATAAACCCAAGATTTTTACGGCAGACTCGTAGAAGAATATTGAACAGTAAAGACAAGAAAAACAGCTACTAAAATATAGAGCAGACATATGTAACATACCCAGATGAGCCGATTCCAAGCTGTTACTGTTACTGACAAACAAGCAATGAACAGAATAGCTTAAGCTTAGAGAGATATAAAGTATTATTCTTTGTCAATATTTATGTAGTCGGAGGCTTAACTGCGGGTATGAACTCATTGATCTGATTATGCATTGTACTTGTATCCGTTCTTGCAAGTAGCACTATAAAAAATGTTCTTTTGATGGAAATAAATGAATAAACAAGACAGGATGCGGAAGGCACGCATATGAAAGATGTTGATTCCCGAATTCTTTCATCCCATTTAGTTCTTCAACAGTTAACCACTATGAAAAGGTCAGAAGAACATGAAAATGAGAAGATGATATAATCCAAATATCAACACTCTGGCTGTAAGCTTGACTACAACACTGGCCACTGCTCACCAAAACAATAAAGATTTTCTCGTGTTGCATTCATCACTCCATGGAATTTCTTATTTAGTCTTCTTATGTTTTAACATTTTCAACCTGTCAGTGCCGAATCTACTTTTTGATAATCAAGCTTGGTCATCCCATTTCCATCTTCGTCCCACCTCCTCAAAGACCTTAGCTCGGGCTTGGCTTTTTCTTGCTTCATCCTCTACCCAGGATCTGCATTTGAATTCATTGTTTTTCTTAATTACAACTATGTATCACTACATTCTAAAATGCAAGGTAGTGAGATAGGTCAGGACCCAAGGAGTCCTTCCAAGTATTGATTTTACATTACTGTAGGATAAGCCAATTGAGTCGAGTAAACTAGCTTTTGCGACACAAGCATCAACGTATGGAAAAGAGTGGAGGGGGTAAGCAAATTCAGCACTTACTTGAGAATCTTGATAGCTTCTATCTCAGCTGCCAGTATGGATTTTGCATCAAGTATTCCTTCTAGTTTGGATTGTAAACCACTGCACATATCTTGCAACTTATTCCGCTCAGTAACATACATAGTCCTGTCAGATGCAAACCTTCCTGATATCTCAGCAACCTCTTCTTTCAGACTAGAAACCAATTGCCTCTGGCAGTCCATTGCTGCCTTTTCCTTCAAAGACTCCGCAGCACATTTCTCCTGAACAATCTTCTCCTGTTCCAGGTCCTGAACTGTCGAAATGTAAAGCTTCTCCACCTCAGAACCTCTGGTTCTTTCTTCATCCAACTTTTCATCCCAAAAACTCTGTATTTCTCCCTTTTCAAGCAACTCGGACTTGATTTCTTTCATTTCAGCTCTTTTTGAAGAACTCTTCATTTCCAGCTTCAACTCATTGGAAATTGCTTCTGCCATCCTGCCACTTGTAAAAGCCACTGCTGCTTGTGCTTTTGATGAAGGTTTATTCGGTTGAAAACGCTTGCTTTTTCCTACAAAATTTGGATATAGATTTGTGTGAAGCACAGTAAGCGAATGCAGTGCTTGATTTGTCATCTTAGACGAAAGAATAGCACAAAGAATAACTCTGCACATTCTGCTCATTCATATCTTTGCCTTAGTTTAGGCTTTTAGCATTAGCTCTTCGCACTTTCTTGGTAAAAATCACTCATGAAGTCATGATTCCTAATGGTATCTAGAAAAGTGATACTAGTCAAGAGTATTCCTACCATTCACATATTAAATACTTGCTTGAAAGGAAGAAGAAAAGTGGAAGGGGGTATCGCGTATGAATGTGTGTAACAAACCAAGATAAGAATTGTACCAAAACTTTCTGAGTATGCTCTTTTCTCCAGCCAACATGTCTATAAAAAGTCCAGGTGACAAATCTGGACTGATCTCCTTCAAATCCATAAAGTCTACCTTTGTCCTTGATATCTGGACTGTACACAAGTTAGGTTTTAAGAGCTATGAAAAGACTGGTGAAGCATCAGGCTAACAGTTCAGAAGCACATAAAAGAAATTCTAGCAGATGGTCAGGGAGATTTATTGTACCTGCTCCATTACTCCTGGCTCAAAGTCATACTCTACCAAGGCTTTCCAGTTTATAAGATCCTCTCGAGAAATAAATCTAGAAGACCAGGTATATTTTGCTGAGTCAAAAGGCACTTTTCAAGAATTGATGAAATTTGTGAATGACTGTGCAGCTTTACCGGTCAGTAAAGAAGATTCGTCCTTTTGAACCATCAGAAGCAGTGTTCCTGCCTGAAAGCTTGCTGAAGATGATGCCTGCCTCTGCCAAAGCTAAATCCAAAGTTCCAAGGAGAACAATGCAGACACCCGTTTTTGTCCGGGCAAAAAAATAGTATATTATTATTATTATTAATTATTACCTAACCTTATCAACTAAACCACTAAATAAACTAAATACCTTCCCTAACCCACTAAACATTAAACAAATCCTCAACTAATCTACTAAAATAAAACCTAACCCACTATCCATTAAACAAATCCTCCACTACTCCACTAAAAATTCATCATAAATCAAGGAGGGAGGAAGGATACGGGAGGGGAGAGAGAATTGGGGAAAAAATAGAAAAAAAACATTTAAAGAAAAAAAGGCCAAAAACCATTCGGATTTCTTTTCTCCGATCCGCTGTCGTCCACCGTCCGATCGTCCTGATTTTTTAGTATGTTGTTCATGTTGGCCTTGCGCAACTTGTCACCGTTCGAATCGTTGATCGGAGATCCTTATTGCCGGCGAAAATTCGGCAGAATTCAAGAATCCTTTTTTTCTTTTTTTTCTTTAAATGCTTTTTTTCTCTATTTTTTTCCCAATTCTCTCCCCTACCGTATCCTTCCTCCCTCTTTGATTTATGATGGATTTTTAGTGGAGTAGTGGAGGATTTGTTTAATAGATAGTGGGTTAGGTTTTGTTTTAGTGGAGTAGTGGAGGATTTGTTTAATGTTTAGTGAGTTATGGTAGATATTTGGTTTATTTAGTGGTTTAGTTGATTATGTTAGGTAATAATTAATAATTATAATAATAATATACTATTTTTTGTCCCGGACAAAAACGAGTGTCTACAAACAACTCTTAATTGTCATCCCTTTTTTTCTTTCTTTTTTACATGGAAATGTCAAATTGAGCTTTACCTTGAATAGACTCAAAATCTGGGTCATCGGCACCAACATCATCAAAGGCTGCAGGTTCTGACCCAGAGAGTGAAATGGATGGAACAATCCTGTGCCTAGGGTTCCTACAAGATAATAGGTTCCCAAATCAGATCAGATCATGCAAAAGAATATTCTTAGAGCTTCCTATTTTCAATTTCAAACCATTCCCAAAAGATAAGTACAGGACAACTACTACCTTTCCAATAACGAACTTGTACGAACAAGCCATCTAGCATATTCCCTTCTTGTGCATAATTCATCAGGTCATACATCATCTTCAATGATCTGCAAGCCTTAATTACATGATACAATCATATGCAGTTCATTTGAAAAGGACCAGAGATGATTTTAGATAAAAGAAGCGTCCAGAAACAAACCTTCAGCTTCTTTAGAACCAACAAAGCTTCCTGCTGAGTGGAATCAATAGCAACAGGTACTACAACGCGCTCACGCTTATGACAAGGTGCTGATAGTGTCAAGGAAAAACAATCAAATTTTCTAAAGAATTTGGTGCATAAATCAAATAGATTAGACATTACACTATTGTCCGAAACTATGGCCTCAAGTACACATTAAAGTTAGAAGATTTGGTTGTAATAGTTTATCTTGTTCTGTCCGTCCAACAAAAGGCAATCTAAAATGCTGAAACATTAAAAAAATAAAACAGAGAACTGAAAGGTTCTACATAATTGACTGCCACACCTGGAGGAACAATTTCGGTAACTGCAAGAGGTACACAGTCGGGTACTGCCTCAGCAGCCTGTTCATCAGATTCGAGATAGTCCCTAGCTTCCGTATGGTCATTTTTTGCCTCCCTACAGCTAAAGACCCCGTGAAAAGTATTCAATGGACTACTAAACTCGAACTTAAACCCTGCAGATCTCAATTAAAAAGCACTAAACATGAAATCAAACACACCCATTGTGTTCATTCTTGAAAATATATATATAAAAAAACGCTGTTATGTTGAGAGACTGCAAGTAAATGCAAGTCTTGAATAAAGAAAGAACCCACCTTTTCTGTAGAACAAGAAGTACGCAATGGAAATTGCAATAGCAAGTGAAGACCCAATAGCACTCCCAACTAACATAGAAGAAAAACCTGCAGAACAGAAAAAACGCATTTCTAATTCGACCCAACTCTTATTCAAAGAAGAATTCTTCAAGCAAAAAAGAACGAAACCTTTTTTCCTTGTTCTAGGAGTTGGGGGAGCTTGAACAACGGCCCAACCCCCATAGTCGTCGGGTGGAGAATTAGGGTCGGGAGGTAACCAAGCAATGTCAACGTCTGGGTGCAGCAGAGAAGCAGAGATACGCAGTATTCGGGAGTAGGAGGATCTTGGATAACAGACAAATGAAGTTGGAGATGTGAAGAAGGAGAGACTGCTGCCACGGCGATGAAGAAAGGATGGGGTTTCGGGTGCGATGAATAGAGATGATGAAAATGCGGTGATTGAGCCCATCCTCCTTTGATTAACAAAATTGGGGGACTGAAATGAATAAAGGGACAATTAAGCAAGTAGCATCAACAACAACAGAAAGCATTGAATTCGAATCGGAATATATACGATGTCAGCTTTGGAGTCTACGCTTTGCTCCCAGGCTCAGCTGCAGCCCCCCTGTACCACAGCTTGTCTCAACTGTTTCTCTTTCGAACAGCCAGCCAGGGTTTTCATTTATTTTTCCTATGAATAAGAAGTTAAGTGCTCAAATATAATTTTTTATTTTTAATATACCTCGGCTTAAATGAATATCAAATTAAAATCTAAATTAAATATATGATACCTAAAAAAGTAATTAAATATTAAATTAAAATAAAATAATAATTTAAATATTAAATGTATAATTTTTTTTATAATTTTTAACATAATTTATACATAATTTTATTTAAAATTACATTTTATTCTTCTATTTTTTTTTATTATGGGTGGCTCATAATTTAGGTAGACTCACCCTTAAATATATCTATTTGCTTCGGTAAACGAACTATAAAAATATATTAAATTATTGAAAAATCATAGATAAATTATAAATCAGTCGAATGAAGTGAAAAAATTATACACGAACGTAAATCGTGTATCAAAATCTAATCCAAAGGTTTAAAACATAGAAGATTAACATGATAACAAATAGATATCATCTTAATCGGTCGTAGTGATGTTTAAACCAACTTTAAAAAACGAAAATTAAATAACCCAAAACATGTCATAAATATATGATTATTAAAAAAAAACAAATATACACTATACTAAAATAAAATTAAAAACAATAAAATCGACAGTTGATGACTAGAGTTGGTTTAATAATTACTAATAATGTTAATCCATATAACATATGAAATAATAGTTCGTGCATTATACTAGATGTTTAAAAGTACAACTACTATTTCTATCATTGGTAATCAATTTTAATGTTTGTTGTCGACCGTCAGTATTCTTTATTATCTTTTTAATTTCTTTTGTTTTTTTATTTTCAATAAGTCTGCTTATATGACACATTTTCCTTTGCTTTATGACACATTTTCTTCTGCCTTTTGGAACGTTTTTCGATCGTTTGGTCGTTGTTTTCATTTATCATTTTCTAATGGTTGATTAGATATCACCATGACTGATCAAGTTGGTGTTTATCTGTTATATTGTTGATCTTCCCTGTGTTGAGTTAATCGATCGATGGAATCGGCCAAGAGGGGGTGAATTGGCAATAAAAAATTTTGGTGGAAGCTTTTGCAGAAAATTGAAAGTAATTGCACAGCGATTTAGAGTGGCTCGACTTTCTCAACTAAAGTCTACGTCCACTACCTTAGCTATCCACACTAAGGATTTTCCACAAATTCACTAATTTGTCTTTCTTTTGAGGACAAAGAGTAACCTTACAAACCCTCAAGAATTATACCCTAAATTCTTGAGAACACACTCTCTCAAAGAGAACAATACAAATTTGCAAACTTACAAGGAAATCCTCACAAGGTAAGATGTTTCCACAATTCTAAAACAAGAAAAGAACACTAAAAATAATTACAAATGAGCACAAATGGTGTTCTTGAAAGCAAAATGAATATTGAAAGGAAAATTGGCTTGATTTGCACAAACTTGGTGTTTGATGCTTTCTCTCTTGTTTCTCTATGATTTCTTGTTGATCAAAGGCTTCAGAACTTGTTTAAATACTCCCTCAATTGATTATACATGTGTTTAAATTTGCACGCCAATTGGTCTGGATTCTTCCATGGAGAATGAACCGGAAGTGGACGCCATCTTTATCGATTTAACTCTTCCCGGATCTACTCAAGAGGTGGTTAAACCTTCAAATGAGTCAAGCTCTGATGCCAATTGTTGAGTTAATCGATCGATGGAATCGGCCAAGAGGGGGTGAATTGGCAATAAAAAAATTTGGTGGAAGCTTTTGCAGAAAATTGAAAGTAATTGCACAACGATTTAGAGTGGTTCGACTTTCTCAACCAAAGTCTACGTCCACTACCTTAGATATCCACACTAAGGATTTTCCACAAATTGACTAATTTGTCTTTCTTTTGAGGACAAAGAGTAACCTTACAAACCCTCAAGAATTATACCCCAAATTCTTGAGAACACTATCTCCCAAAGAGAACAATACAAATTTGCAAACTTACAAAGAAATCCTCACAAGGTAAGATATTTGCACAATTCTAGAACAAGAAAAGAACACTAAAAAATAATTACAAACGAGCACAAATGGTGTTCTTGAAAGCAAAATGAATATTGAATGGAAAATTGGCTTGATTTGCACAAACTTGGTGTTTGATGCTTTCCCTCTTGTTTCTCTATGATTTCTTATTGATCAAAGGCTTCAGAACTTGTTTAAATACTCACTCAATTGATTCTGAACGTTGAGGATGATTAGTGGAGTCAATGGAGCCGTTTAAGTGTGAAAACCATTAATAAAACAGCTTGGAGCGTGGGGGGAATCGATACCCCCTCATGGGGGAATCGATTCCCTAAGTGTAAAATTCAAATATTTCGTCCGTTGAACAGTGGGGGGAATCGGTTCCCTCCGAGCATATTGGAATTTCTCGGAGCCAAACCATTCAGGAGGGAATCGGTTCCCTCTGGACAATCTGGAAATTTTGGCTTTGAAATGGTTCGAAATATTTTGTAAAATCGTTTCGAAATTATTTTAAGTTTTAAACTTAATTTTACACTTGAGTAAGGATTAAAATGACATTTGAAAGATTTGGAGTAATATTTTGATATTCAAATAATTATATCGAATATACTTATAAAATCTTTTTGGAAATCTTAAAATTCATTTAACTTAATTTATTATATCAAAATATTTTCAACACCCTGCTTTGGACCCTCGAATTTGATTTGTATACATGTGCGTTTGTGGATAACTTTTCACGTCGCTCGAGTTTGATTTGTGGTTTATCGATGGTCTTTTAGTAGCTTGATCCCCTTTTGTGGTTCCTTTACCGATGCGATCAGATCTGTTTATATCTATATTCATTCGAGCTTTCTTTGTTATAATTTAACCTTTCCTTGTACCTTACGCGATATTAAGTTGCTAGTTTTGTTTCAATGATTATAGGAAATTATCCTAAATATGTGCTTGATTTACGATTATGATTATGAATCTTTATTGTAATTTAGGATAATTCCTATTTTGAATAAAATTAGTGATTTTTTTTTTAAAAAAAAAGTACAACTACAATATTAAATATTTTATTAAATGATATATTTCACATTAAATATTTTATATATCTATCAAATAATTTGTTATCTCCTGAAATAAAACGTGTCATACATTTATTAAAAGATACATTTCACATTAAATATTTTATATATCTATCAAATAAGTTGTTATCTCCTAAAATAAAACGTGTCATACATTTAAACAAAAATAAATTAACAATTTTAGACTGAATTAGAGATCGATTTATCAATGTCACTAGACACAATCAAACTTTTAAATATAATACACATATTAAATTATATACTCGACTACTATAGGGTGCTTACTTGGATCTCTTACTTGCTTGGGACGTGGGTTTCCGTCGCGTTGTGCTGCAAGTTGATAGCTTGGATGGTCGTCATTATCTTCGTAATGATTCTTCCGTCATTCACAATTTGAAGTGGCACTTTGAAGAACTTACACAGAGGAATTGGATTGTTAAAATTCAACACGTTCTTCATGAAGGAAATAAGATGGTCGATGCGCTTGCCAAGATTACTAGTTTTGCGACTACCGTTTTTGCTGATCCTCCTTTACCAGTTATTTCCCTCTTACATGCTGATATTGCAAGCTCTTGATGCTTGCTTGTTGTTTGTTCCACTTTAGGCATTGGATTCTGCTGGTTGGTCTTGCTGTTTGTTGGTCATAGTGTGTATTATCGTATGTACTATTTTCCTCCGACTAAGTTTAAGAGATTTTTAAAGAGACACAGATATTACTTTTCATTGTATAATTTAATCATATTTTTTTCATAAATAAAAAAATAGTATAACCATTTTCATATAAAAATAATTAAAAACATTAGTTAAATTCAATTATTTAGTTTAATAATCATGTTTTTATACAATTACGAAGATATAAAAATGATTAAGATGCACGCACGAGTTAGACAATCTCAATGGTAAAGGAATTATTATTATTATTTGAGGTCTTAGGTTCGAGCACCATGAATGTCATAAATATGAGTGTTCAAATGTCAAATGACTAAGAGTTATTTTTAAACAAATATTATCTTGTACTTATCCTAAATATTTAAGATAAAAAAGGAGTATAAGCCGATAGCGGGTATACCTACTGCATCATGACTGGACCTTTGGGCTCTACTACTCTACAATATCTTCATATTGTTGGCCCATACAGGTAGTGTTAAACTCAATATCCGAGGTGTAAAGAAAAAGAAAATTTGTGTATGATTCTGTACATCTCTTATTAATCGTATATTTCTTGTTTATTTAATTTTTACTCTGGAATCTTGAGAATCTAAACTCTAAGCACCCTTTTAACGCACTCTTATGCTCGACAAGTTTCGTGTTCCTTCGTACTCTTGTGAAAATTGGGGACCGGGACGGCAACAACTACAAAACAAATCACATATATTCTTACGCATTTTGTTATTTATCTAAATGGGATTTACACATGGAGCACCCTGATTCACACCCAAAACGTCGATGATGGCTATAACAAGGTATAATCTGCCTCATTCCTCTAAACATTGCCTAGGAAATGCCAATGGCGTGAATACATATATTCCATTTACTACTATTTAAACCCCCTCTCCATTTCAGTAAAACCAACAGCATCAGAACAACACAAACAGAAATTAAGCAGGCAAAGGAAGATATGGAATTTTCTTGCAAGGATTTCAAGGTAGGGAAATGCCAAGGCCAGAAGCTGGTGGATGGTGAAGCCATGCCATTGGTTCTGCAACCCCCTGAGGTCGACAAGGCTGATATGCAATCACTTCTCTTGGCTTTAAAGTCAAACCAGGATTGGTTTGAGAAATTGATCATCAAAAACAGTGCTGTCCTCCTCCGAGGTTTCGATGTCAAGAATGCACAAGAATTCAATGACATCGTTGAAGCCTTTGGTTGGGATGACATTCGTTACGTTGGACCGGCGCCTCGGACGCATGTATATGGACGTGTCTGGACAGCTAACGAAGGACCTCTCTCTGAATTCATATATTACCACCATGAAATGGTTCTGGTATGTCTACTCACTAGTCAGCTGTGAAACTTGTGTTTAACCATATCTTACAATGTCATTGTTTACCAGATAAAGGAATCTCCAAAAACATTACTACTATACTGCGAGGTGCCGCCCCCGGAAGGTGGAGAGACACCCTTTGTTCCTAGCTTCCGGGTGACGGAGCGGATGCTAGAGGAATTCCCGGAAGCCGTGGAGGAAATGGATGCCAAGGGGTTACAATACTCATTCACAGCCCTCAGCAAGAATGATACATCCTCAATGAGGGGTAGAGGCTGGGAGGATACTTTTGGAACATCTGATCGTGTAGAGGCCGAGAGAAGGTTCAACTTTGATCGAACATTTATAAGCTCTATATTATTATTAACTAAAATTTAGGCAAATACATATATGCTTATGATCGTTGTGAGATAGTCTGTGAAACCTAATCACACAGCAAAAATTTGATACAGAGCAAAAGCACTGGGAATGGACATGGAGTGGCTACCTAATGGAGCGGTGAAGGCAGTATTGGGTCCTCGAACTCTAACAAGGGTGTTCGATGGAAGAAAGGGGAGGCGAATGTGGTTTAACACTATGGTCGGAATGCATGGAAAAGAGTTGAGCTCGGCCACCATGGCAGATGGAACAGAGATACCAGAGAAAGTAGTGAAGAGATGTGGAGAGATCATAGAGGAAGAAAGCATTCAAATTCAAGTGGGAGAAGGGATATGTGCTCTTCTTTGACAACATGGCTTTGCTCCATGGACGTAGGCCTTCTCTGCCCCCAAGAAGGGTCCTCGTTGCCACTTGCAAGTAGACCATCTCCCTTTGCCTAATAATAGAGGGCGTTCCTCTGAACCACAGAATGTTCAAAAATCATACAATAACTTTACTATTTTGAATAAGAAGTCGTACCATGGAATGTTTACATTTTAAAGAACTCTAATAAAACAAACTCTAGTGAACATTTTCATTGTAGCAGAACCTAGCTTTTACTTCTGCAACTTGTGGTAAGTTCAAAAACCATCATTATCTGATACATAAAAGTTGAAATATAAAAGAAATTCGACTTGAAATTGAGCAATATAGCAAATAGATTCATCCATGGACAACGAGAAATTTAAATAGAACATAGTAAAAAAACTGCCTACTTTTATTTCTGGAAATATTATAAGAAAACAAATCCCGAGCATAGCGCTAGATCAGTCTGATGTTTGCCGGGCGGGATGGATTCTACTGTGCACTGTAACATTTCAAATAAAAGAGAACAATCTGACATGACCTGCCAAACAGCCTTAAGATGTTGAAACATCAAGCACAACTGTGGAGGATAAACATGGCTCACCCACGACCCCTCCCTGTATATCCATACCCTCTTCCATAAGAACCACCACGAAAACGACCACCGCGTCCGCGTCGTCCGCCTCGACCACCTCGGTATCTTGAAAATTCACCAAAAGTCTACACGACCGAAACCACAACATAAAAAAGGACACATATTACAGAGAGCTAATGTGAAGAAAAAAACAAGAAATGCATCATTACCTCAGTGTCTAATTTCATTTGCTCGGAGAATCTCGGCCTTCCAATTTGTGTGTCATTTGCACGTGTATTAGAGGAGAGAGTATCAAAAAAGTCATCCTTATTGTAGACAGGCTGTACAGTGACACCAAACTGATAGAGTGAGTATGGTGCTTTTAAGGTAATCTAATTACTACAAGAGTTAGATACAAGGTAGCAGTACAACCTTGACTTGAATCTTAGATATCTCAGCATCTTCTTCATCTTGATAACCATCTTCGTCGCTAGCATCCCCTTCTTTATCCTTAGAATGAGATTTGCTACTGTTACCAAGATGACCCCAGACTTCATCTTTCTTAAATTTCTCATTCATTGCTTCAAAATCAAAATCTTCAGTAAATTTTGTCACTGGGCGTGAACTCTACCAAAAAGATCATAGCCACCGATAATATAGTCAGTCTTGATGAATGACTATAACCACCAATAAAATTCATTCAAAATTTCTTTAAGAAACTTAACATGCCAAAAAATCAATCTCAAAACATCTACACATTAACACATCTAGTTATTTTCACACAATAAATTACCTACTCAAATAAAAAGGTTTAGTATTCAATCACATAGCTTCAACAAGGCAACAACAATATCCAGCTAGCATAATCTTTTCAAATTTAGACTACAAAATGTAAATAAAGTTTACCCCAGCTCCTCTTCCCCTTCCTCTTCCTCTTTCATGTCCTCTATAACCATGGCGAGATTGAAAGGAAGATCCATTTGGCTAGGGAAAAATGTTGAAAGATACTTGTCAGATTCTTTACAACATTCAGTTAAGTAAATTATCATGAATGAAAGTCATATATGAACTTAACGCAAAGCAAACTCTATACTACAATGTTTTCATTTCAATATGCAGTTGTAGTGAACCAACATGTTAAACAAAGCAAAACAGCAAACACTAGAACTGAAGTATAGCTCATGCACATCATGTTGTATTCTCTTTTGAGGGGCTGGCACAACTTGGGGAAAAGAAGAGAATAAACCTGCAAAATATTGCCCCTGTGCATTAAAAATGCCCACCAAAAATCCTAACAAAGGAGACACATACTTCCACAAGAGAAACCACAAGGGTAACCCATCAAATCAGCCAGATAAGCATACCTCCTAAGAATCCCTGCTTGGTTTAACTTTCCATATCAGTGCTAATTTCCTATTTTTGCAATTCATAATCACGTAAAAACCTTCTCCACGGTCAACATCCAAGAAGAAAACTATTGAAAACGTGTACCACTAATACATGAAAAAGAATTTTGAAATTTCAAATAAAGCTCAAATTTCTGCAAAACATAAGTCAAAGCACCAGAACCGTTGTTTGTACTGTGAGGGCAGCATCTTAAACATTTAGTTTGACAAGAAAATTTCTTAATATGATAAAAAAAAGGGAAAATAATGGCGAAAGTAACACCTACACTATTCTTATCATTTCACTGCAACTAATGTTGCCAAAGGCAAACGCAGAATGTTAATGTCCATTAAACTTATTAGACATCCTTGGCACCCAGTGTGCCATGCATTTTGAGCACTAGAACCTTGCATCACAAAAGGCACAAAGGGTAAAGAATATGCTGGTCGAAGTAAACATGCTAATTTCTAAAATATAACCAACTTAAGAATTTGTTTCATAACATTAGATAATGTGTCCCAAAAATCAATGTTTACTCAATATCAAGCTTTGTTAAAAATAGAAACTTTGAATTACCTTTTGTGCAATATGGGAAGAAACAGGTAATGGCAATAGTGGAGGCTGAGCTTCTGAGACAATAGGTGCTGATGGTTCAGGAGATAATGATGAGGTCATTTGAACCACTTCCACATCTTTATGTGCAGTTGCTGCAGGCTGAGATGAAGGAACAACAGTAGATCCTGACTTCAAGAACTGACCAGGGGTTACCAATGAAGGTACAGATGTTTCCACACGAATCGAATTTGAAACCCCAATAACAGAGGATGCAGCTTGAGAGACACTTTGATATGGCAAAGTAGAGATTTCACTTTGTTTGTTCGTAATTGGTGGTACGATGGCATTTAATTC